GTTATTTTTATTGCCGTTTTATTTGTTGGCATTTATTTGTTACCCCCTTCGTTGCTGCTGATAATGGCTCATTGTTTGAGGTTTTCCTTAATAAATCCCGAGGAGAATACATACCGGTTGCTAAGTAATATACAAATAACCACAAATAAGTGTGAAATTACCGAAAGGAATAGGCCTATGCATGCTATAATAGCAATTGTCGATTTAAAAAATCAGCGCAATGTCGGCTACCTCATGTGCTTAAATAATTTCAACAAGGCACTGTGCGACATTGTTGCATATCTTGATACCGTGACTTTAGAATATAAGAAACTATTGGAAAAATACATTCGTATTCCCGTTTCTTCAACCTCCCTCCCTCCCATAAAACAAAACCATGAGGCACGCGGGAAACATGAGGCACATCGGAAAGTGCCCTCAATTACAGTAGAGCATACAGGACTTTGACTTGACCGCATTCACGTTTGCAGCGATATGTTTAAAAGATGAAGGAAGGCAATTATTTGCATTATAATTCCATTCATGCACGTTCTGAAATGCAAGTCTCCTTTGAACGACCGTATAACTATTGATAATTAACTCAACTCTTTAGTACGAAATAAATGAAAATAATGAGAGCGGGATACTCTAAATCCCTTGTCCCTGATTGACTCATCGATTCTTTACGACCCGAAGGGCCCGACGTTAACGAGAAGGTATTTCAATCTCCCGGAATGAATCAATTTCGACTTTCACTCCGGTTTTCTCGGTCACTGTCGGCAATCTGGCTTTTTATGTGGGACGATGATCGATGTAGAATGTGTCCTGGCTGATTTTCGCACCAACGCTGATCGTGCACTGTAACTAGCCGGTCGATAGGCCTTCGGTGCAATGTTCACTCTAAAACGACTTGACATTTAAAAATAATTTAACGATTCTGAAAAACTAATTTATTAATGATTTCTTGATGTACCATCATGGCCAAGAGGGCGAAGAATGATCGAAAGACGCGGGATATGATGTGGTCATCATCAAGGGTGGTCATCATCAAGAAGGTTGACATCGACACGAATTACTCCCCCGCAGCAAGGAACGGGCCCCATCTACATCTCGGTCTGGGTCACCGACGACTTCTTCCCTGCTGGGGAGCCAGTCCGCACTCGAAAGCGGCTCTTGGCCGTTTTCGGCCGGGATCGATGCCGCTCGATGAAATTGGACCTGGGTCGCGATACCCGTTTCCGCTTCACGGTTTCGAGGTTCGAGGGGCGTTCCATCAGCACAAATATCGTAAAATAGACCTATTCCCGTGAAATGTAAGTGTTATTGTGGGAGCATATCCACCTAATGCCATGTCACTTATGTCTTTAAAAATATATATATACATATTTTTTTTGTTGTAAATAGAGCATGTGCTATATATTTGTTTTTAACCTCTTTCTCGGTGCCTTTTCCTCTCGGTTTGTGCTAATTCTTGAACTTCCAATCATGGGGTTCATATAGAATTTGGCATCGCTCGAGATGATATGGATAGTCGTAGCATTGAAGAAAGTATTTTTATGGCATTGGTTTCTGAAACGGTCACCATATTCCACCAAGAGTCGATATCCATTTCACACCGATTACTAAACATAATAATCGCGAGGGAAACCGAACTCATCGTTTCAACGAACTCCCAATATTTCACAAATTACGCAACGCAAGTGGGGCAGAGAGGGGAGTCAGACAAAATGTTACGATTTTTGTCACGGCGTGGGGGAGGGGAATTGCACGAATGGGACGCAACAGGTTTTTTCCAGAAAAAATATGCGATTGGAATTTATTATTAGAAGGGCAATTGTTTAGTGACAAATCACTCGCGACACCAATAGCCAACTCTACTACCCACCCGCACCCACCGCCCTTACTAGGAGTGGAGTGGGCATTGGGAGCGTGGGAGCGTCTGTCGACTTCCGTCTCCCCTGTTGCTAAACTTGCGAAGTCGGTTTCATGCCTGGACCTGCTCTGACAGGCCAAGCAGGCTCAGTTAGCTTTTGGACGTTGATTTATTTATGATTTATTGCTGATTTATTGAAATTTAATTTCGCAGATTTGGAAATCCGACGCCCGAGAATGGCGGAGAAAGTTGCAACAGTAGTCCGTCCGGAAGTTCGCCATCTTATCTCGAATTATTTCGCTGACGAAAAAAAATTATATTGCATATCTCTCTTTGTCGATGCTCCAAAGGAAACCCTACGTGCACCGCCCCTTTAGTGAAAAAAAAAATAATCAGGGAGGAAAAGAATTTGAGATATTAATAAAATAGCGACTCATGCTGCACTTTCGAACGGAATTTTCTCCGCCATGCTCGGACTTTGGGCGTCGAAATTTTCGACTTTCGAAATTTCGAAAGAAGGCAATCCGAAAATTTCACTTTTGCACGAATTGTTCCACTTCACATCTCGCCCACGTAGTTAAAAGGAAAATAAAATGAAGACGCCGAAAATGAGATGGAACCGGAAAGGGAAAATTGAGGGGAAAATCATCCAACAGTGAAGATTCCAACGATAATACAGTGCGGCTATGCAAAAGGAAAAGACAATGTGCACCGGAAAGAGATTCCCAGGAATCTGATTTCAAGCACCTAAAGGATCCATCGGGTTTGAAACGGAACTTCTTTTCACTACATTCATAGAAAAAGGAGTTGAACTCGTCTTTAGTACATGCGTCAACGTGGACGAAAGACGTGGTGTCAAGAAATTTTATCAGAAACGGCTATTTCGTCGATTTACCTGCACATGGAGCGCCGTCTTGCCTTTACATTACCTTACATTTGTGTGCAAAACTCTGGATTTTGGGTTTCCAGGTTTAAGAGACGCAAAAATGGTGCAGGCGATATTTAAAAGGCACTGTTTTCAGCGCGAAAAAGGCTCGGGACTAATAGAGTAACTATAGAGACGAATGCTTCATGTTCGTCTTCGAAAAATCGGTTTGGCCTTCGTTAAACGACGATGTACCCAACAGCCAAGGCCAACGCGATGAAATATGCAGATTGAAACCGTCTCCTAGCGAGAGCTATCACCGAGCGGTTATCTGCACGCCGATACGACAAGAGACCGCGAAACAGAACTGCGCGGCAGAGAGCGCGATCGACCCCGAAGTCACAGACCGAGGAATGAAGGTCGGAAACTGGAGGAGGTCCTCGCGACCTTTTCATCTCAAACCAGCGTCGGCCATGCAGCTCCTCCCAGTTCTTTCGATGGCAATGACCGTCCTTCCCCCTGCCATGCACGTGAGTGTGCTTCGTTCAAAATAAATTCCATCCTGTTGCTGCCAGCAGCCGAAACCGATTACTAACGGTTTCCATCAAAATCCAAAACGATTTGGGGAACTTGAATAATTCCCCTGGAAAGCGTAGGTTTCTGGTACACAGTATCCATGACGTTGTGTCTGGTGCTTCTTTTAACGTTCGGAGGAAGTGAGGCGTTATTAATATTCATGATTTGTTCATCGATGTTCCTGACTTCAAGTTCCCGGCATTTTAATCTCATCTTATCATAACCATCGCACGTTTTCCATGATTTTCCTGAAAATACCGAATGCTCCATACGACCTGATATTGATCTGTATGACCTAGGGTTTATTGATCTCGGATGTTTCTCTGGAATATTCCAATGGATCTGAATTGCAAGATTTACCGACAGATCGAATGTAGAGCATGGTTGGTCCTCCCAGTTTGATGGCAGCAAGCGAACGAGAGGAAATGAACTGAAATTTGCGTAAACCGCAGGTGCAGCTCAAGTCGAGACGGGAATTCATTTGTAGGGTGATGAGCGCGTGGAAAGCGTTACATGACGACGTGGCAGCTGCCGCTTCCGTGACTACTTTAAAGATGAAACTAGGTACTTTTATGGACAGAGAATAAGGGGGCAACGTGTACGTAAGGGACCAGGCAATGGGCAACTCGGTTATGCTGAAAAATAAAATTTAAACACATAAACATTTAGTTGCTAGAGCATTAAGCCTATCCGAAAAAAAAAGATAAGGAACGCACAACCTCGAAACGTGTGGGTCCTCTATCGCGGACCTCCGCAATTTCCCCCTGACTACTTTTAATGGGTTTAGGTTATGATCTTTTTGCACACATAAAGTTGACAACGTGCAAACACGGAAGGCTATCATTGAATCAGCTCTCGGGACTGTGTCGCCAGAGATGGCGAGCTAGAATTGGGCAGAGATCGAATTGCGATTGGATTACTGCGGAACTTCTGCTGACGTGTGGAAGAGTACTGGTCACAAAAAAAATTGAGGAAAAAGGCTTTCAGTTAGAGCTAAAAACCTTTCTTTTAGCGTTCCTGTATTTTCCAGTTATTATAATATGAAATCTGGGTCACCTTTTCGGACCTCATATACTCGATACATGCAGATCGCGAAAGGGTAAGAAAGTGAAAGGAACGCGCAAAACAGGATAGAACAGGATATGAAAGCATGAGATAACGCATATGAGATTACAAATGCAAGAATTCACGGTGACCAAGTGCAAATGCTTTCGAGAACTTTAAAAATGTCTGAACATACTAGAGCTTTATGAAGTGAACTTCAAAATCGTGTCTGATGAGAATTGCATGAGCGGGGAAACTTTCACGAGCATCTCTGGAATTGGTTCCACCTTTACCATTGTTGAATGATAGAGCATGGAATTTGACTGTCAGGGCCAACATAATCATGAACATGAGCCAACATTGACATGAATCGCATCAATATAAACTGCCACGAGTGGTATTGCTATATTCGAGTTTGCAAAAGGCACACTTTCAGTAAAAATTGGAAAAAAGGAAGGTAGGAATAATGTACTTTACAGCACAAAACACGCAAAATCGCTCTCTTTTTTGCCATTTTTTCTGTCCCATCGAGGAGTTGCTGGGTCCTCTCGTGACGATCAGACATTTGAGCAAACACGGAAATTCGGAGCGCATGGCAAGAACATCGTAGAAATGCATGGAACGAAAGGGATAATAAGGCCGATGATATAGGGGAGGGCTGGCCTAATCATCGGCAGTTGCGATGAGCTCATAGGGGAGGAGGATGTGCGCCAGGCTCGTATTCCCATCGTGGTCGTCCACGATAATGGGCAGATCATATGGCTGTATCGGTTCCAAACGAAAGAGGAACACGACATCGTGCACAGTGTTGGGTCAAACTTGAAGTCAGACGATGGAAGCCGAGTTCCAGATATTCCTCATCGCCTATCGATTGTAAACCGGTGCGGGACATGCAGAACCTCTTGGTTCTTTCGGCGCATTTGGCCATCCTCTCGTACCTCTACGCAAGTGAGTGTCTATCGAACAAAATTAGTTAATTGCTTCCAAACACTTTTTGCAACCGACTGATGGATCAGACTCAAATAAAAAAAGAAGAGATCGAATATGGGTTCGAACACGCAAATTCTCGTATAGAGCATCTTCGACGTTAGATCTGTTGCCTCTTTAACGTTAAAAGGGGCAAGGATCAGTGATCCTCATGATTTAATATTCCACACCCATGAACTCAAATGGCCTTAATATAAACTTTAGGGGGTCGCTTGTCATTCCATTGAAAGTAATTTATAATTTTCAGGGAAAAGTCTACTGGTTTATGTGACCCCGTTCATACTGGGTCTTAAGTGTTGTTCTACTAGCAAGAAGATCGAAATAGGTCTAACTTCGCGAATGTTAACATTTAACGTTTAAATTGCGGTGTCAACTTATTTCGAATCTTCTGCTCAGAATCAAACAGCAACGTCATCTCCGAACAAGTAGAAATGAGACGCATGACATCGAGATTGAATTCACCCTCTGTTCAAGAGCTCATGGGGTGTCACGGGGCGACAGAACTCACATGATTTACTTCGCTCATGCAGGGTGGAGGTAGGTCGCCTGCCACTACACAATCTCACCTGACAATCCCAAGTTCGAAGGGGACTAAGGTATTGATGAATCATATACGCATTGCTTGAAATATGATCTCCCTTCTTTTTCTGAGATTGGGTTGCAGGTTACTTGTCACCCTCTGCTCCTCGCTAATCTAGCATAACACAGGATAATTGTCTCTCCCTATTTTAAAAAACTCATAACTTTTGTTCTTAAATGATGGAAACTTCGTTTCTTTGGCATTTGAAAGCTATGTTTAGGGAATTTTTCAGGCGATCGATTTTGCGATTGTTTGGTGAAAGATTGCGCGACACTTGATTGTTAGTGGTTGCGGATGAGGAGTGACTTCATGATCACCCTGTAGATATAAATTGGCAAGATTTCCAAGTAGGATGCACAATTAGATATAATTACTTTGAAAAGAATGTAAACATTTTGATTTGATATGGCCACAGAGAATCGCTAGTTGCTTTTAAAACTTCTGGTCTGGTTGCGGTAGTTCCATGATCTCCCAACGAGAACGTGACTTATGGCTATATCTAAACATGACTCATATTTCTACAGAGGGAGGGACAGGGACTGCCACAGATGGAGCCCCTCGGATTAGCTCGGCTACAATGATTGCAGAGAATCCAACGTCTACCGGAACGACTGCGACTTCACCACGTAAAACAACACCAGCGACTACATCGCCTCCACCAACTTCAGCGCTTCCGACAACTACGGCGCCTAAGTCAACTATTGCACCTCCATCAACCACAGCGAGTCCACGAAATACTGCGCCTGGATTGCCTGCAGGGACTACATCAGCTAAATCTTCTCTACGAAGCACGGCGCCTGCGTTAAGTACCATCTCTCCACCAACTGAAACGTCACTAGGCATGTTTTGGTCCTCCGCATTTCCTATAGTAAGCGCACACCGATATGACGTGTATAATTTACATATTATTTCGCCGTACAAGGCAAATACATTTACATGTATCCCGTTCTTCCACGATATGAGGCAGTTCCAAACTGATTTAACAACAGACTAAAAATGAAAACTAGGAACATGATGTTCCTTAAGCATCGTGTGGTCCAAAAATTGGGAAATTCATCGAAGAGTGATGATACCAACGATAATACAATGTAGAAGGAAAAGATGACGAAAATGAGCAACGGAAAAAGATTCCCAGCAATCTGATTTCAAGCATCTGAAGGTTGCATCGGGTTTGAAATGGATCCTCTTTTAATTAATTGGGGATGCTTTAGTTTCTGGTATACAGCATGCATTACGTTGAGTCTGGTGTTTCTTTCCACGTTCGGAAGAGGTGAGGCGTTATTAATTTTCGTGATTTGTTCATCGATGACCTTAAGTTCCCTTTAATTTACTTTCATCTAATCTTAACCATCGGACGTTTTCCAGGATTTTCCTGAAAATACCGGATGAAGCATATTAAAAAGCTCATTAAGAAGGTCGTACCTAGGGACCTAATGCAAGACGCATGATGTAATCGCAAGATGAAAGCAACCCATCGCAGGTAACGGATATCCTGACCACAAAATCCCTTCTTGGCCCATAATGTCCCCGGGCGAGACATCCGGACCAATAATCTGGAATGGAAAACCTTATCGGCTCCATCCGGGAAGAACCGGGGAAAAAAGAGTCGAAGGAGGAGAGGGAGAGAGAGAGAGAGAGAGGAAGAGAGCGAGAGCAAGCGCGAGGAGCAGCTTTTGGGGTGGGGCGGGGATCAAATGGAGATTTGCCTGTGAGACGGTTTTCTTGTGTCCCTGGTTTTGTGTCTTTTGTCTCTCCATTATTTGATTTCGTCATCCTTCTTCCTTTTAAACCTTTGAATATTAATATAATTGTATCATTTTTTCTAAGTTCCGAAGGTGCATTTTCTTTCCTGAATTTGCTACATCGAACCCGAGTTTACCTAAAAATCCCAGAGTCGTATGTTGACTTAGGGATTGTTCCCTATCCTATACATGACACCAATGTTCCAAGTGAACTAATATTGTTCTGTAGTACCAAGGATTTATTCAATTAGAATATTTCTCTGGAATATCCCACTTTACCTGAATTGCAAGATTTACCGACGGATCGAATGTATGGCGTGGTAGGTTTGATGGCAGCAAGCGTACAAGAGGCGATGAACTGAAATTTGCGCAAACCGCAGGTGAGTTTCAAGTCCAGACGGAAATTCTTACCTTGTAGGGTGATGAACGCTTGGAAGGCGTTAGATGACGATGTAGTGGCTGCCGTTTCCGTGACTACTTTAAAGAATAAGCTAGATACTTTTATGGACAGAGCAAAAAGGGGGGCAATGTTGACGTAAGGGACCAGGCAGTGGGCGACTAGGTTATGCTAGAAAATAAAATTTAAGCACATATTTAGCGCCATGAGCATTAAGCCAATCCAACAAAAAATTAAGGAACTTTCAACCTCAACCCGTGGTATCTAAATTGTTGTTATCGCCTCTGATACCACTAACATACTTTCATACCTTTGTTCGCCCGAAATATTTCGATATTTGTACTACACGATAATATCTCGGGCAAGTCGTAGAAACGCCCAACATGCTTTTAAAGCGTTCAAGCAATGAGGACATCCACATCGGTTCATTTTGATTGAAAAATGCAACAAGTTGGATCGCAATCCAGAATTTGTACTAGCCAGTGGTATAAATGTTTTTTATTTTTGCCGTGATGCATAACGGTCGTCGCGCCTGAGCAGACAGATAATATTGAGATCCTGAAGAAACATTGGATTAGGCGTGGGGGTCCTCCATCGCGGACCTCAGCGATTTCCGCCTCACTTTTTTTTAATGAATTTATGTTATGATCATTGTGCTCGCATGAGGATGACAACGTGCAAACACGGAAGGATATAATTTAATCAGCCCTAGGTACTGTGTTGCCAGAGATGGTGAGCTGAAAATGGGCAGAAATCGAATATCGGTTGAATGACTGCGGAACTTCTGCTGAAGTGTGGAAGAGTACTGGTCAGAAAAACTTGAGAAAACTCACTTTAAGTTAGCGCAAAACCCTTTTTTATTTTCCTGTATTTGCCAGCTATCATAATATGGAACCTGGGTCACCTTTTCCTGACCAGATGTACACGATGTACGCATATCGCAAAAGGGGAAGGAAGTAAAATGAACGCGCAAAACGGGATGGAGCGGGATATGAAAACATGAGATAAGGGATTGCAGAACGTGGAAAAAAATGTCTGAAGGTAGTAGAGCCTTATGAATTAAATTTCAAAATCACGCCCAATAAGAAATAGAAGGGCGGTGAATCTTTCATGACTATCTCAGGAATCAGTTCCACCGTTACTATTGCTGAATGATGAAGCATGGAATTTGAAAGTCATCGCCAACATAATCATTACCATGAGATAATAATTAACATGATTTGCATCAATATATTAGGTTGGAAAGAAAGTCTTGCAACACTCTGCGCAAAATTTTCAAAATTTTATAACTTTATTGAAATGCAATTTCAGTCTACAATGTAATGACCATTGCTGTCTATGACATGTTCCCAACGCACGGGTAACTACTCGATGCCCTTTGCCAGAGCTCTGGCGATTGCGAAGAGAAGAAACGGCCGACATCATTTTCGAGCTGTGCTCGATCGTCTTGTGCCTTGTCCCGCAGGTGATTCTTGAGGGCCCGGAACAAGTGATAGTCGGAAGGGGCCAAGTCCGGAGAAACGCTGGATGGGGTAAAACTTCCCAGCCCAGTTCTGAAATCGTCTGGCGAGTCATCATCGCAACATGTGGACGAGAGTTGTCATCCAGAAGAACTTTGTCGCTTTTGGGACGCTCTTTTTGAATGAGCGAGATGAACGAGTAGTCGAGTGGCAGTCACGGTGGTCCCGTTTGGGAGGAGCTCATAGTAAAACATTCCTTCTGAATCCCACAGACAGCAGAGAAGAACCTTCTTCTCGTGGAACCATGGTTTCGGTTCGTGTGGCGGCAATTCTCCTCGTGAAAGTCACTGACTCTTGCGAGTATGGTCGACGTAGAGGACCCAGCTCTCATCTCCAGTAATGATTTCCTTCAGAAGGTCCTTTCGGTGCGGACGAAGGAGCAGTCATTCGCAGACGCCGACACGGCTTGCTCTGTCAGAGTCGCCGAGCCGATGAGGGACCCATGCCGAGCAAACCTTCCGATAGCCGAGGTCGTTCAGATGGTTGCCGATGGCCATATGGGTGACTCCAAGTGTAGTCGCCGATTCGCGAGTGGTGGCGTTCGGCTTCGAGTTGAGGGCGTTCCGCAGGGCTTCGTCATCGACTGTAGATGGACGTCCCAAGTGTGGTCCATCTCCGAAGGTCGTATCGCCAGATTCCAATCGTTCGAACCATCGAGACACCGTGGAATAGTAGACGATGTTGCCCTCGAAGGCAGCGCAGATGTTGTCCGCGGCGGCTCTTGCAGGGTGTCCTTGGAGGAACTCGTCGTAGACGATGGGGCGAAGAGTTGCTCGTTCGATCGGAGTCATGGCTGCCCAGTAATGGCAGAAGCCTCCTTATATACTCCAAGGGCAGAAGCTTCGAGAACATTCTTGCATATACAAATCCAAAGCCCCGCCCATCATTCCTTTGAACATTTTTATAAATAGTTTTAGAAAGTGTTGCAAGACTTTCTTTCCAACCCAATATTTTAGCCTCACATTTCGCAACTGTATCCAGACATTTCCATGCAACGAGATGTTGCATCGTTGCTGGTTGGAATTTTCCGATTCCGTCGACAGTAGTTGAAGCCTGTATCATCCAGGTCTAAGTTGTGCACAGACTCCTATATATACGATCTACCCTGATTATATGATGTTCTCTGTACTTTTCAAACCTTTGATATTCCTTTGAAATCCCAGGGAAAAACCCTTTAAAACACCTTTTCGGTGTTTTCAAAAGTTTGTCCCTGAGACTTATCAATGGCCATGGCAAATGCCACACGATGTGGAAATAGCCATCAAAGATATATGTTATCTCACGAGATGAATAAAATATTGCTAATTGTATTGAGTCTGGAAGTGAATCAGGATTAGAACTTTTTGATCAACCCGTGTATATATCCCATGTACTTACTGGAAGAAAAATATTCAGGAAATCGAATTTTGGAGTTCCATACTGTATAACATCCTGTATAACACCTGTTAGCACTGAAATTTTCATTTATTTTAGATGTTCGAGCGTGAAATTTATTCCTAAGCTGGTCAGTTTTGCATGGACTGGTCTTTGACCTCTTTTCCAGGAGTAATTGGAGTCTCTGAAATTTTCCCTCTTTACTTTCGCCTCCGACCAATTCTTCAGAATCTATCTGATGGTCTCCGACGTATGGAATGGTAGCTCCCAAGAATGTGAAAGTAGCTCGTTTTCTCCTCATATATGCGGTCTTACATTACCATGTGTACGAACCAATAATGGTTCGATTGCTGTAGCGAACTGCCCAGCATCTGAGCCTCTCGTTTATTATTCACTGAGCATTTACCTAATATAAAGAAAACGGAAACTACAGGATGGCCGGAAAATTTATTCGTTTGGTTTTTTCGAAATAAACCTAGAAATATTGCTAATTGAAAAAAATATAATTAGCAGGTTACATTAAGTACACAATATACGAGGGCTGTTCGAAAAGTTCGTGGACTGGCCGCACTGCGTCGTTGTTATGGAGAGCGAGACGGTGGCTGCTATGGCAAGTTGTAGTGGTGGCGATAATGTAGTAGTGGCGCCACCTTCGTATCCCTACCATCGTTAGTATGTGAGTTAGGTCGTTATAAAAAAGCCTGTTTTGCGATGGAGGAGGAACTCGATATTTTCTCAGCATTGCGCGCTTGAATTTTTTGTTCGGCTTGGAAAAAGTGGTTTGGAAACACTGCAACTCATCCAGGAAGCCTATGAAGATGATGCAATGAGACGAGCTGCAGTTTTCAAGTGAAGGAAGCACTTTAAAGACGGAAAAATGAAAGTGAAAGATGAATCTCGGAGCAGCAGGCCTACCACAGCGGTTACAGATGCCAACGTGGGGAAAACAGAAAATTTACTGAAAGGGGATAGAAGACTCGCTACGAATGCCTCAAAATGAGTCGCGTTTGTGCCAGGTGGGTAATCGTAACAATGTGATGAGTTTATTCTGTTGATACTCCTAAGTAGACAGAAAATTTTCGTAGACGCAGTGCGGCCAGTCCAAGAAATTTCCAAACAGCCATTGTTTATTGTGTACCTAATGTAACCTGCCCATTATGTTTTTTGAAAGTGTTATATTTCTAGGTTTATTTTCAAACAGCTCTCGTACTTTCAACAAGAAAGAATTACAAATTTTGCGTGACTGCCAACATTTTTCAGGCAAGCTGCAAGGCGTCTACGAAAAGAGTCAGTTAATGCAGTCATCCTCCTTCTTCCTCCTCCTTTTTCTCCTGCTGTCTCTTTCCTCCTTTACGCGGGTGATTAACAGATCTCTAGTGCGTGGTGTGCGTTCCCTGAACTATCTAACACTATCTGGCAATCTACCCCAAAGATGTTCGATTGGGTTGAGGCCTGATTCATCAGCCTGATTTACCCATTTCCTTACAGTTTTGCGATCTTCATCCATGATCTTAGAGATTTCAGAAATTGATTTGCCACCATTTAGATAGAGAATCTGAACTTTGGAACGAACGTGTTCTATCTCTGTTGACACCTGGGAAACATTATAATAAGGATAAATATACAAATAAAAATTAAGTCTTTTTTTCAGCACTGTTAATTTAAAAAAGAATCAATTTTATCACCCATTGATAATAATTGAATGATGACCAAAAAGTTTTCCCCCACTTTCCAGCCATTTGCACAGGACCAAATTATTATGAGCATGTGAATATTGAACATGTGAAAATACGTGTTAACAGGAACATATTCAACTTCAAACCGTGTAGTATGAACTTACCTGCTCAGATGATTCCACACTTGTTTTTCTATGCTGTAAAAATAAACTAATTTCCCATTCCACAGTTGATTGAATAAAGTAAAACTAACTGCAAAATGACTAGTTCGTGAAATAATGCAATGGGGTCAATGCCACTAGAAACTCAGAAGACATCACTTTAAAGTGTATTTAACTGTCATCTAGGAAAAAAAAGTATAACCGGTTGATTATTTCTTTTTAAATTCCCTAGCATAGTATGCAAGTGCGGAGAAACTTTCCGGCCATCCTGTATCTGATGAATTGCCTGTCCATGACCTTCGTCATCAGGGCATGACCAGTCGCAAACCCCTATTAATGTATGATGTTGACGTATTCCCAGATGGTTAATTTTTGCCATATTTTCATTTCCTTCGGAAAGTTCATGTGCCACTCAAAGCCCACTTCTTCATACGCCGATCTCCCGCATTCTCTGTGAAATCTTTTATCATCTGAAAGGATTCCGTGCGGAATTTCAGAAGAAATATGGAAAATTCATGCGCGTATCGCTGATACACTAAATTCTTTTCCATCAACATTGAACTTAGTACAAACATATTGAATAAGCTATTGGCTTATCAGTATAAACTTCTGAAAACCTTCAGACGCCTTATGTACCCATAGGTTTTGTCGATTGTGCATTCGCTTTTTTCATGTATATTTCAAGAAAGTGTAAAATAATATGTCAAGTATTGTTTTCTTCACGTCGCAGGTGGTAAGAAAATACTTTTTCATGAGTACCGTATTGTTCATATGCCAACGATTTCGTAGACCATTATTGTCAAGAACTCTTCGGCTACTCAACTCACCATCCAGATGTATTTGTCCTGCCCCACCGTAAAGGATTTCCAGGATCGGGCCAAACGATGCCTCCGGCAGTTTGGTAATCAGGTTATCATCCAGCCATAGCTGCGTGTTTGCCGTAAGACCTAGTGTGGGAAGGTGCCACTGATAATTTCAAAATAATTTCAAAATGTTTTCAAACGGAACCTATTTTCCTAATAATGAATGCATGCTTCGCTTCACGAAACATGCATGCACAAATGAACAGACCATTTCATAAAGCCTTTAGGACACTCTGTATTATCTACATGCGCCAGTTTCTCGGACATGCATGTCCCCAATTCATATTGTCAGTAACTTTCTTCATCACTCTTAGCGTTTGCGACGAGATAAGTCGTTCAATGGAACATTGGTGAAAACTGACATTAACTCATAGAATCCGAAGTACCGATATATTGGCTCATCTAGCCATGATTTTTCACCTTCGGATTCTGACGCTTAACAAGTTATCTTGTCTGCACCTCTTTCTTCGGGTTTCTATTCCGGCATGGACGGATATACAGGTACAAGTAAAATACTGTACAGAGACTCTGTAAATAGAGGGGACATGAAGTATTTTTAAAGTAACTTATTTCGCTATTAAGGTACCTATTTAGGAAAACTTTCAATGGTAGTGGGATAAGTATTCTTCAAATCGAATAAATTACACTTCGCTGAAAGAAAGAGTGACTTTTTCATGAACATCTTTACGGGAACGTATCCTGAATACGTTGGTGTACAGAGATGAAAGTGTGGGTACATCATAATAGAACCAGACGTGAAAGGTGGAATTATATTCACAAGCTGCGTTTTTCTATAATAAGGACCTAACCTCTAATTACTTTGTCTAAAATTTTCAGGTAAATTCAGTTCAGTTTCGCGCGGAGATCCTTGAATATACCTGTAATGGCTCCAGTTTCTAAAAATCTAATATCGTTTCTCCCGAGGTCGACATCATCTAGAGCCTGACTAGGAAATGCCAATTTCCCAGAATGAAGAGTCGGTCCCAGGTGGCAGCCGAGGCATGAGAAAAACTGCAGGCTTGTGAAGCCGTCAAAGAATCCAATCGGGAACTCTGAGATAGGATTCGAACCTGCGAAGAGAGGAATGTGGCTCATTTCATGATGCAGCAACGTATTTTTGTTTATTGGCAATCATATGTTGATCCCTTTCCCCATCAATAGTCAAGCTCGAATTTCAAAGGGTCGCAATTTATTATACATTTTGCAACTTGCTTTTAGATGGTTTGCAGATCATTTTCGTCGCATTTCCCGTTGTTTTTTTTTTTAGAATGGAAAGTGAGCCTTGAAGCGAAGCTTGAAGTCAGCGTCTTGAAAAATTCGCGCTATACACGAATTTTCGGCGCGCAAATGATGTTCGGCCGACTTACCGAAAGGCATCATCAATTTCGGCTTCCCGTATTTGCATTTCGGTATTCCTCCTCGTATTTCGTTTGGGGAAGACAGAAAATTGAAGAGCAATGGCAAAAAAAAACTCGAGTTGGAAATAAGTTCACCAACATTCGATAAGAAAAGTCACTGATGATAAAGTCGGATAACTACCACAATAAGGAAGACCGGCCAAACAATGGGAACTCGCTGCACATCTTCAGAAACCTTACAATTGGCGTGATTGATGAGGTAATCGTTGTCAGCATTGTATTTCGGTATCGAGGAGCTTCAGACTTCCTGTAATCGCCCCTTCATTAGGATTGTAATTCATGTCGGTACAATTTCCCCTTTGTTTCTCAATGGAAGGGGAACAACGCTGCGAATTCGGATATCGGCGTTCGAGAAGAACTTTCGAAAAACAGAAAATGGCGCTCAGCGGGCTTTGCATACAGGCGGACTTTTTTCGTCCCCTTATATCGAAAAGTCAGCATTCCTGCCTATATCTCGTTATTTGGAAGACACAAAAAAGAATATCGAAGATTGAAATTCATCGAGGAAATTGGGTTTCGACACAAATGACGATATTCGGCACTCATGCGCTCTTTTCAGCCGGATCGAGCAGCGAAAATGACCTACCGAAGAAATAACTAGCATATTTCAACTTGTCAACATGTTTTAAGAGTTGCTTTCTCATTATGAATGGGTAATTGTCGGTTTAAAATCGGAGTGACATCATACAAAATTAGAAGAAGCTTTAGAAGAATTAGAAGAATTAGAAGAAGTTTTTTTGTAGGTCTCTGTATTGCATTTGGAACTTATGGCCTATCAAGCAGCCCTTTGGGTTCTGACCAGTTAGGAAATGAAAATCCTTTTTTTTTCCCCTCGTAAGAACGTCCAATGGCCAGCACATCGAATGTCTCAAATTTGCATTTGCGATCAGCTCTATCGAGGGAAATTCTCTGAGTGAAGCGCACTCACTCGCCGTTGCTTCGACTTCATTTCTGCTCGCTGATAGCGAATTAGATCGGGAAACGTGTCCGAAAATGGATCCCAGATTCTGCTTCGGATCTTGAAATTCCACTCGCCGTATTCCACACTCGGCTTCGCATCGGACAGTAATAGAGGATGATTTCCTTCGAAACACTAAAAATGACATTTCATTGCCGAAACCACGTGTCTCCTAATACGACCTTCTCCTCACGGACGATAACAGATATCATTTTGCCTGAAATACGGTCGCTTTTCACCGACACTTCTGCAGACATTCTTCAACTGCGGAAAGCCGAAAATGAAAGACGAATATCTTAGTAGCGGATTCCAATTGACATGCTTGCAGCATTTTTCCACCGTGAACTCGATTATAGGCTGAATTTTGTGGCATTTCTTGCAGTCCTGTTGGTTTTCCCAGCTTGAATAATCAAATAGCCCTTCCCATTCCCCCCAAATGAATACCACATGCTCATCGGCGGGAGAGATCTCAAACTTGCACATACCATCCACTCCAGAGCTGAGAATGCTCTTTGCATTGTTTGGTACATTCATTCTCGATTCGCAATTGCTTCAACTTCATAACTGGCTTCCATTTTCGGGATATTTTGAAGGAAACTAAGTCGTCAACGAACTTTAAAAATTTCGGACGATCTCGAGATTCCATTTGCCCTATTTCATTTACAGTTTTGCTTCCAAAAGAAAAGCCGAAAATGAAATTTTGTCCCCGAAACTGCGCGACATCGAATGCGATCCAGTCCTCATGGATGAAATCTGATTCCGATTTGCCGGAACTGCTACCACTTTCCGCTCATATTTCCGACGACATTCTTCACTCACCGAATGCCAAAAATGAATTGCAAACCATCTAAAAGCAAGTTGCGAAAGGTGTATGTAACTATCAGACACCCTTTACGATTTCATTTCAAGCGTTTTCCAAAGCATCAACCCCACAAAGGAACATGTATCTGTATGCAGAAAATCGTGGGAACCATGTAATATCTTATGTTCCGAATCATAAGTTTTTTTTCCGTTTGAACATGGAGAAAGATCCTTGAGGAATATTAGAGCGGAGAAAGATGTTTGGGAGAGGAAGTAGCCACATTTCCAACGACTTGCCTTACCCAAGTGCAGATGCTTCAAATTGGGCATGGCCCATCCAGCTTGCAATGCAGATAATTGGTTGCCTCCGAGGGAGAGGCTTTCCAGAGTGTTACTCTGAAGGGTCGGCACAGTTGTAAAAAAATTTCCACCGAGTTGGAGACCCGTAAGACTCGCCAACTGGAGTATGGTATCCCACGGGACGTCTTCCAGACTGCAGAGCGAGCACCCATAGATCTCCAAACTTTGTAAGTTATCAAAAAATACGATCGGGATCTCTGAGATGGGATTCACGCCTGCAACGATCCAAAAAAGGCCTCTTTTAAGATTAATACTTTGGGAGAATAACATTCTGCCTGCATTATTTTCCTTCCTCAGATTTCCTTTATTCCTGAGATGAAACTAAGGTAATATCCCTATGAGGGATTCTTTTCCTCTTCCAAAACTTAATGAACATTATCAATTACTAACAGCCAGGCAAAGTATGATGTCCTTCCCGTCAGAATTTAGTGTGAAATGTAGAGTACAGTTGAGCGCAATTCACTAGAACTGCATTTTGCAGTCTGGAAATGCGTTAAAAAAAAGACCATTTAGGGAGGTAGAACTGTAGAAAAAGGGTTGGTATTACTTATTGTCTGATTCAAAGGATCCGACGTACCGAGTTGCAGTTCCTTCAAGTTGGGCAGGAACCATCCAGGCACAATTGCAGGTATGTGGTTACCCGTAACGGAGAGGTATTCCAGAGTGTTACTCTGCAGGGCTGGCAATTCCGTCAGGGAATTGAGGTCGAGGCGGAGTTCCCCGAGGTTGTGCAATTGGGGTAGGATGCCCCACGGGAAGTTTTCAAGGTTACTCTCTTGAATTATAATAGATTCAAGCACATCTTTTGCTTGAAGAAATGCAGTCTCATGAACGGTACTAAGTTTCGTGATGGAGTATAACGCTATGAACCGAAAGGAGACGCTTCCAAAGACTCCATCTGGGAGCTCCATCACAAATTCATTTTCATTCATATGGAATTCCCTGCAAGGAAGGAAGAGAATAGGGAACCCTGGGCTTGAATGTGTTTTAGTTATGACATGCTTCAGCTAGTCTTCGGCGTTTTCTGTGTGAGAAAGCAAATGTTGAATAGTTTCCTTTGAGAATGAAATAACATGTACCTGGTCGATAACATGTTCCTGATGATGCAAATAATTATTTGATATTCTTTTGAGTTCATGTGAAAGCTAGTATCACGGCCATCCTTTTTTGCAACGGCTTCTACGTATCATTTATAATCCTAAAATCCAATTTCGGTTTTCCCCAGTCGTTTTAGCACAGGAGGTAAAACGCGTTCGCAAGTAAAATTTTTTGCGTGAGAAAAAGAATCGGCGGAAAGTAGTACGTAAGCTTGGAGTGCACTAATCTCCGGCCAGAGCTCCATCATCTCCCAATTATCTTCCTGCTGCTCTTTGCGAAAGAATGGGGTGGGGCAGTATTTTTCAAGAATTTACTAGCAAATTACGGAAGAAATGTCGGTCTACCGCGAAGAGCTGCTAGAACTCTGGTCACCTGAGGAGAAGCGAACGAGAGCGGATGACTAAAACTTAGCCGGAACTGAAGGGAAATGCGAAAATGTGGAAGAAGTTATGGTTGCTCCAGATGATGATATGATGCAAAATTTCCATCTGCAAATCGTAAGACCGAAGGACAAGTCAGAGATTTGCTTGGCGGATTATTAAGTGCAAATGGTAAAAGCCTCCGAAAGAAAAAAACAAATCGTCACTTCGAGTGGGACAGGTCCAACCGTTATTGTCCAGGAGCGAGTGCAGAGACCAAACCAAATTAATCTTACGCAAAAACGGCTAGAGATAAACAGCCAACAAACAGAACGCAACCCTATCAGGAATAAAATTTGTCGTGATAATTTTCTACTCTGAAAATGGAGTGAGCTTTAATGTTATTTTTCTGTAATGGACGTCGCGAAAATGAATGCATATTGAAGATCTATATGATTTTCCTGAAATGTAAGATATCTTGGAGCAGAATCGATCATCTTAGACCTTGATTTTTGAGTGACTAAAAAAAAATCACTGAAATCTAAGAAACTTAACAACTGCAAAGTTGCTATCATGCGACTAGGAATAACATTGAGAAATAAGAAAACGGTTCTTTGAAATGTAATCATGAGTGCGGGGTTCCATAAAAATACAGGGTGTCTCACAAAAATGTATCGGATGTTCAGGACATGCCAAATATGGCAGAATTCAAAGGAACGAGCCTACGGGCAGTTCAAGGCATTTCTACTGAAGGCAGCAGTACAAAACTTCTCTCGACGTCTTTGAGGATGTCCTGCAGCTAGAAGTGCTCACTTTGAACTTTTATTCCACTAAAACAAAAATTTTGGAGTTTCTCTGTGATTTTGTTTTCATTTGAAGAGAATGTCCATTATTCTAAGATGATATGGCAATTCAAAATGGTAAACATTTGTGCGAAGCAACCCGTAATTGGCATGAAGTTTCTGCTGTTAAGCAAAGTTTGGAAATTAAGTAATAAAATATGTTGGGGCCACCAGGCATTCCGTTCGGTCCTCTCTTAAAAAGGAGTCTCAAACACCGACTCCTTTCATTAAGGGAGTAATGCCTTAGGGCGATCATGCAACTCACAAGATTATCTTACCTGACCTCCGTGACATTCCAGTCGACGGAATTGAAGACAGAAAAGATCTCCTGACCCGATCCTGCATCTGAGCAATCCACCCGTAACTCGTTCCACAATTCTTCGAAGCAGGAGCATGGGGAAATGTCATCCGTGGGACAGAAATTTTGCCCGTCTACCCTTAAGAAGGAAGCTGAGTAGAAAAGTGAGAGCAATGCAAATGCGACTTGCATTTTGGTGTCCTTTTGGGAAATGGTTCGACACAAGACAGAATGGGAACCCGTAGACTGCGATTCGTATCGTTATCTGGCGGATGTTTTCCCACATCATATCCGTTTTATTGCCCATATGTCCATTTCCCTCTATACTGTAATTTCTTTTCAATTTCCAACTCCAGGTCGTAAGAATTTCCGAGTAAAGTCACGTCAACCTGCATAAGTCGTAATGCTCTGAATACATTTCCTGCATAGCCTGGGAAAGGCCTTCACTCGATTTCGACGGATATGTACTATTTCTGGATTGTTCCTGCAAGGGGTTTCAAATTTCAGGTCCGACCATGAAGGGAAAGATTTTTTCCTCCAGCGAGTCCGAAATACTTTTCCCCTATTACGGATTTTCCCTACAGCTCTACGCAGTAGAGTTGTAAATTGAATTTCTGATGGAAGTTCATAGAAATACCGATTTCCTCGATATCATGAAAATTTCCATATCGACCTCTTCGGAGAAGGTACCCGACAGTTTCAGCTTCCATCCCGAATCGTTGAGGACTTTGACTCGCCCACGGAATCCCCATGACATCATATACAGGGTGGGCCAAAAGTTTTTGCCCCTGTATAAAAATGTGAATATCTACTGAACGGTTTGGGCTACAGAGTCGAAAAAAAAAACTGAAAGAAACTTCATTTCATGCTCTTTCTGAAAATGTATGGTTTTAGGTTCCTACATTCATTTGGAGATGAGTCATGGCCGTTTGAAAAAAACATACCGAAAAAAAAGTTGCCAAAACGAACCTATGCCGTGCCGCCCACGGAAATCATNTAGGAACCTGAAACCATACATTTTCAGAAAGAGCATGAAATGAACTTTCTTTCAGTTTTTTTTTTCGACTCTGTAGCCCAAACCGTTCAGGAAATATACACATTTTTATACAGGGGCAAAAACTTTTGGCCCACCCTGTATACCGTGGGAAACAACCTAGATTCCGAAGGAAAAAAAAATTATTACAATTTCCCAAACGGACACAGGGGAAATGAAGAGCAAGATAGCTTCTTTTCCACGTTGAGAAAAAGGAAAGGTTCTAAAACGAAGGACACCATACATCACGGGAGATCGCCCTGCACATCCTGGTTTGCCAGCGGCTAGCCCCGAACGGTTAAGAAAAGAGAAAGGATCAATATTATGAGACTCTCGTCCGCCGTTCGCTTTTCCTGTGCTTTGCACTTTCTTCCGTCACATGGTCGAGAATTCGGACCTGGTGCAATTCATCGTGGATGATGAGTTAATGTATACTATTTGATCGCCGTTTCCTCTCGGCTCTTCAGTAAATTGTTGCGCCGCATACTAATTCATTTATCGGTCCATAGCCGAGCCCCTGCATAGAAGTATCCGGATTACATTCATTCCATCCACCATTCCCCTATGCAAGTAGGCAAAATTGGCTGCAGGTTGGCAAAAGCGAAGAAAGAACCGCAGATCAACACGAAGCCGCAAAGCCATGAATAATTTAAATCTAGTTGGGACATTTGGCTCCGATTTCGTTGGGGATATCATATCGGGTGCTACGAAATCGGGAGAAGTCCATGTGTGACGGTTTTTGCCTGGGATATTTTAGCGGGGCTATTCCATTATACTATGGACATTGCCGACTGAAATGTTCTTGGTTTTTTTTTACCTCCAATACACTGGTAGGAAAACCGTAGAGCCAGTGTGTCAGGTTCCATCGAGTAGTATTTTTTGTAAACAAAAAAAGAATGTATGGGGGGGGCAAAACATAATTCATTAAAAAAATCAAACGTTTATTTGCCGTTACATCTGAGGCTACTGTCAGATTTTGATTGAAACGAAGCTACACAAATATAATATTCAATTATAAATTTCAAGTAGAACACTTTGTCCATGTTTTACCCACTTCATCTTGAATGAAATGTATGATATTTGATGGTGAAAAAAATATTCGAAATAGATTTCTTTCAAGTGAGAGAAATCGCTCCGTTCGCTGAAGAAGACAAAACCAATCATATTTTCCACTCAAGATAAGACAGTCCCGTCCTTAGCGCAAATAGCAAAAGCCAAAGCACTGCCAGAAAAGCATTGACCCTCAGATTTAACCATCTACTTTTAGGAGTTTGCGTGTGCAACTTCCGCACTCAACTATCTGCAATGCTTAAAGCACTATTATGCCGTATTTTTGGACAATGGATTTATGTTCTTTGGTAACCCGATGAGTAATCACGACTGGAGCGTTGTGAGAAACCTGATTCAAATTCAAAATGCGAATCTCCACAAAAGTTTAGCGGCACTCGTCCCAGCACTCGGGAGACTTTATTGTCGACATGAAACTGAACGATAATCTCAGCCTGCGATACCTCAAAGGAGCAGTATATACGGTCCATGATGGCATTCGAGCAAACGATATCGGGAGTTCCCTCAAAGACCTCAAGGTTGTCAAGCCATTAAGCCATAAACGAGAGTATCGTAGGAGAGCGAGCTAGGACGGTAGGTACAAGGGCGTGCAGACTCGGCGCCATAAATGGCATTAAAAATGATATGTAAATAATATTCCGAAATGTGAACCCCTGTTCTCGCAGATGTGGCGATGCTCATGAGCATCATTAAAAAATGTAATACTGAGTGTATCTTATTAACTCGCTTGCTCTGTGGTAAAATCAGGAGTATATTGCAAATTTGCGAGATTGGCGACCAGGCAAATAGGCAAATTTTATTGATATTGATTTTCCTAAAATTGCCCTTCTGGTCCTAGCATCTTTCGAAGCAAGTGGTAAGGTACGACAACATCGAAGAACTTGTCATTGGGACGTCATGCGGTTTCAGGTTATCTGGATTTTGCTGAGGCTAATGTGAAGAAGTAATAGTTAGCTAATAGGACCGCAGCCCTCTTAGGCCTCTCAGCCATAGGAATTGAAGTTCCTCTTGAAGTTTTCGCCCGTCCCGGACGAGAACCTAGATTGCCTATATCGCGAATTCCTTGGTTGAGTCGGATGAATCTAGCAGAATCGCATGTTCTTCGTGCAAAATCTGATGGGTCGGGAGACGGTGCCATCGATCACCGCAGTGCCTCCCGCCTGCTGCCACGAATTTGGAGGTTTCAAGCGTCCGCGATGAAATATCCGAGTGATTCGTGAATTCGTCGCAACTTATGTTCATACTGGTTCCGCCAGTAATCCCGTCACTATAGTTTTCTCGCGTGCTTTCCATCGTTCGAAACGCGGAATTGCAGAATGACGTGCTCTTTCGTCGCTGCTTCAATCAACTTCACTCATCTGAAAACGTTGACGAAAGAAACCGATGAGCGCGAGTGCTATTCGCGCTTCTCTCTCGTCCTGTAGGATGGACGCGAAGGTATTATCATCCAAATTCAAACCGTAGGAACTCCATTACAAAGCAACAGAGAAAAGAGAATCTCGGAAAAGGAGCCTGCAATAAAGTAGGCGATTTGCGGATCGTGACTGTGTTGTGTGTTGAATGTTCCCATTCTTCACACGTTCCACTGAGCCAATATGCGCTGCTATGTTTTCAGAGAAATTTGGATGCTTTATTTTCCTTTTTTTTATCAAAATCAAAAGTAATGATTTTTAAATCAAAATCATTACTTCTATTATTTCTTGTGTGCCTAACATGTAATCGTTTAATGTGTCCCTTTTTGTAAGGGTGGAGAATACATTTTTCAATACTTCCCGCCAATAATCTACACTAATAGGGCAAATTTTTTACATTTTTATATAGTTTTTTTAATCGAAATCAATCCTCAGAGAACTACATTCTCAAGACGTTTCAACCTTATACGTTTGTCCTTTTCGCTGGTGAAAAAACATGCTTCGAAAAGCCGACCCACCCAAAATATATGTCCAGAGGGGATGCACCATAAAAGCTGAATACTCCCTCAACTCAATAATATTATGTAATTCATACGTGTGTCAAATTTCACCTTTCCATTTATATCCAATTCGCCAGGACAAAATTTTTTTTAAACATCGCTCCTCGAAAAAATTTCCCAGAGGATGTATCGAGACTTAACATTTTCCTTTATCTCCTTGTCTCAGTAGTCACATTCATGCAAAGTTTCATCTTTCCATTTCCATCAGTTTAACTAATGTAAGAAAATTATTTGAAAACATCTCCCTTTGAAATATGTATCCCCGGGGCATTTACTTCCAAAGTCTGATCTTTTCTGCAGCATCCCAATAGGTAGTGATGTACCAAGTTTAATCTTTCCACGCCAGTTTAATACGCCAGGCCCAAAAAAATATGTGAAAAAGTCGGATGCTAAAAATATGCTCCCACAGGGCATGGATATTACATTTTACATTTTTTCCTGAACTCATTGTCTTGGTAGGGATGTCCATGTCAAGTTTCAGCTTTCCATGTTTCTCAATTTCACTAAAGCAAAAATATCGCTACGGAGAGAAATGAGTAACACGACTGGGAAGGTATAAGAGGCCGAAAGAAAGCTATTGGTCTGCCAGGAATTGAACCTGGGCATCCTGATTGTGCTACCACTGCACCACCGAACCTAAAACGTCCAGTCCAATAGCTCGTTGCCATCCTTATTCCGCACAATGTATATCTTTAAAAACTTTTTCCCCAAATTATGTACCCCCAGGGCATGTACCGCCAAAGTCGGATTTTTTCCGAACTCTGCATCGCAAAAGTACATGTGTACCAAGTTTCAGATTTCTAACTTCTCTAGAACATGGTTAGAATTAGCGTCAGTCAGTCAGTCACAATCGTCTATATATCTAATATACGGGTATACACTCAATGTCCACAAAATTAGATTTACCCCTATATTCAACTTTCCATGCAGCTATATCATAACCTCACCTAGGTTAGGTAGGTTAGGTTGTGATCTAAAGCAAGCAGCCCTGCTTTAGTGTGTGTGTTTTGACTGCAGAATGGGCAAATAAACAGACCTCCGCGACTTTGAACGTGGAACGGTCGTTGTTGCCAGACTAGCTGGTTTGAGTATCGCGGAAACCGTCAAACTGCTAGGCTTTTCTCGTACTACAGTTTCACGGGTATACCGTGAATGGTGTGATAAGCGAAAAGCAACGGCTGCAAGGGCATCCTGTGGACGGCAGAGCCTCGTTGATGCTCGAGGTCAGAGAAGGCTGTCACGTATCGCTTCGGCTGACAGGCGGGCTACAGTACGCCAAATCACGGCAAAATTCAACGCTGGTGTCCCGAAAAGCATATCCGTGCACACAACTCGTCGCACCTTAGCGCGGATGGGCTACAACAGCAGAAGACCAGTTCGGGTGCCCATGTTGTCGGACAAAAACAGGAAAGCGAGACTTTTCTAGGCAAAAGAGCATCGTCACTGGACCATTGCCGAGTGGATAAAGGTTGCATGCCCAGATGAATCCCGGTTCCAGTTGCAATTCGCCGACGGGAGGATGCGAATCTGGCGCAAGAAACATGAATCCATGGACCCCTCCTGNGGGCCATTGGTGAAGAGAAGGGCACGAGTTGGCGCGTATTGGTACATTTGCAGATATGAATGGGTTCTATTTACTTTTCTAGCAGGGAAATAGTAGAAGATGTTCCATTGACATT